CGCCCGTGGCTGCGTCCCAGATCTTAACTGTCCCGTCGTACGAGGCCGACGCGAGACGCTGGCCATCCGCCGAGAACACCACCGAGTTCACCGAACCGCCATGGCCCTCGAGCGTCTGCACGCACGCGCCCGTGGCCGCGTCCCAGATCTTAACCGTCTTATCATACGAGGCCGACGCGAGACGCTGGCCATCCGCCGAGAATACCACTAACTTTACTGAACTGCCATGACCCTCAAGCGTCTGCACGCACGCGCCCGTGGCTGCGTCCCAGATCTTAACTGTCCCGTCGTACGAGGCCGACGCGAGACGCTGGCCATCCGCCGAGAACACCACCGAGTTCACCGAACTGCTATGGCCCTCGAGCGTCTGCACGCACGCGCCTGTGGCCGCGTCCCAGATCTTGATCGTCTTATCGCTCGAGGCCGACGCAAGACGCTGGCCATTCGCTGAGAACACCACCGAGTTCACCCAATCGCCATGGCCCTCGAGCGTCTGCACGCACGCGCCCGTGGCTGCGTCCCAGATCTTGACCGTCTCATCGCTCGAGGCCGACGCGAGACGCTGGCCATCCGCCGAGAATACTATCGACCTTACCGAACCGCCATGGCCCTCAAGCGTCTGCAAGCATGCATTCCAGTCTGATTCCATGCTCGGCTTTAACGTGATCCATTTTGGCTCTTCTTTTTCGAAGAGCTCTCTGATTAGGCTGCGGGTGGGACTGAACACGAGTGCTGATGCATAGGCCTGTAATGGAGCTATCTCGATCGCCCGCTTATGAGAAAGAATAAAGCGGCGCGCGTCTCGAAGGAATCCTGTTAGTTGTCGCGCTTCCTTGGTTTTCTGCTAACATGTCAGACCGTGTCTAGGTTATAGATGAATTTATAACAACTCACTACTAAAGCTTCGAGCTTCTGCACTGCCATAACCCCCTTAGGCAAGCTACGCAATAGACTAAGAGATTCTAACCAATATAGATATTTGCTTTGAAGGAACTTATGGACGATCCCCGCGTCCTGTAGGTCCTTGTCACTCATTTTCACCTGGGATTGCGAGGCGTCGAGATGGTCTACCCAGAAGACGCAGGAATATCCTATTGATGCTAATGGGTCAGGGTCGGGCGGCGAGACCTGATCGGTGGGAAATCCCGGCACGCCCAATGCATAAACGTCACGCTTGAGAGTCTCCGAGAGAGCCTCCAGCGACTTGGAGAAGATGGCATGGTGCTGGTGTGCGGCGCCAGAGGGCAGGATTTGGTCGGATGCCTTGTTAACCAGGAAGTCTTTGGCTGATTGATGCACAAAGTAGATGACACCTTCTCGAAGAGTCAGGAAAGAACCGCAGGAATCAATGATTTGTGGCAGGTCATCGTAGTCGCCCTCCTCGAGCGACCCAATAAAAACCTTCAATTCCTCCAATGTGATAGGTCGGTATACGACTGAAGCGATAGCCAGTATCTCCTTGCAACTTTCTGCATCACTCGAACCAGAGATTTGTTCCATCATTCGATTGTAGAGTGGATCAAGTCCTGATGGGAACAGCTTCAACTTGGAGAGTGTATGCCGTTTTCGGACCACCTTGGGATCTGCAAGCTCTTGACAGACCAAGGCGACCCAGAGAAAAGTGCCATCAGCATTAGAGACTAAGTGATTTTCGAGAGCCTGGCTTGTTTCCTTGTCGTATCTCTTCTCGCGTGCCAATTGATCCACCTTGTATCCAATGTATGTGTTGACAGCCTTGGAGATGGAGTTTTGGTTTAGCTCGAGCTGAAGCCTGACCTTCTGCTTTGTACAGCCGAGTTTCCCCTCAATGTCCTGCCAGTTGCGACTAGACACGATCCACTTGACGCGAGAGGACTTGGCGATCAAGTCGAGCAGCTGATGTCGATTTGTTTTGCATTCGTCGAGGGCATCGACAACCAGGATAGCACCGTCCAAAATCGGGTCATTGAGCATGGCTGCAAGAATCTTGGATAAGGCTTCCCAGGCGTTCCCGTCCTCGAAAAGCTGCTTACCCGCATGATCGTGCTTCTCTCGAACATGTGAGATGAGCGACGGCTGTTGGACAACGAGCAGATAGATCAGGCCGCGCAGCACGGCCGTCGCATTACTGAGTCGTACCTCGGTGGCCTGGCAGAAGAAATAGGACAGGTGCCTGTCCTTCCCCAGCTCGTCGATGATGCCGCATAGCAACATTGTCTTGCCTTTGCCAGGGTCGCCTTTGATCCAGAGCAGCTGGCTCTGCGGGTCGTCACGCCACCGCCGGAAGTCGTCATGGTCGAGGATCCAGCGGTATGAGTCCCTGAGCAGGCCGCCCTTTGTAGCTTCGATGCGCGTCTTGTCGTCGCGAGGGTCAGTCTCGCGCAGGTCTTTCAGGCACTGCTTTGACTCCTCGTCTTGGTGTCTCTTCTCTTGGTGTTGCGTTTGCGCTTCAATGGCCGAATGTACGCCTTTGATGGCCGAATGAATGTCTTGGAGCTTCATCTCTATAGCGCTAGCGGTTTCGGTGAGTTTCCAGAGTCGCGTCTTGCTCTCTTCGGTGTTGTATTGTTCCATGTCTCTTTGCACGGCAGCCTCTGCTTCCTTGATCTCGCTGAGCTGGCCAGCCCAGTCATCGTTCTTGAACAGATCCGTTACAATGACGCCAACCCAGTGCCGGTGGTAAAGGCAGACGCTCTTTATCTGATATGAAAGAAGTTTCTCGTAGAGCTGCACGACGTGCTTCTCCAGTTGGACTCGCAGTCCGGCGGAAGATTGCTCGGCCTTGTTCTCGTCGAGAAGTAGGGACACTAAGTTCCAGTACCACTCCGTTCTTGACAGGACGTAGGCGATGCCTTTGCGGTTTTCGCGAGCCTCGGTGATGGGGTTCGAAAGGATCTAGCAACTGTCAGCAGGGGATCATCGACCGTTCTGTCTTCGGTTGGGAAAGTTATTCACACACCTCTAGCCCAAGGCAGACGCCGACCCAGGCGACGGCGGCTTCTGGTGCGACCTTTACCGCGTTGTCCATTATTCCCCTCACTGCTTGTATTGCTTGCAAGCCTTCATCGATGCCTCGCTTGATGGACGCTTGCTTATGCGTCCGATCTAGTCCAGCCTGCACCAATTGTTGCATTTGGCCGCATCGTGTCCCCGGAGTCTCTCCTATCTCATTGTCTGTTGATTCGCGAGGAACAGAGCTCGGATCGTTCTCGTGCAGCTTGGCTGATAGGATCTTCTCGTACTCCCCGACCAGTTTGAGCTCGTTCGCTTTGAGCGCATCGTAGGCCTCATTCCAAAGTCGCTCTTGTAGGCTCGGCAGCGACGAGGTTTTGGAATCCGTCGAGGTAGGTAGAGAAGAAGACGTTGGCTGGGATGTCGGTCGGGTGGTTGGTTGGGACGGAGACCGAGATGGTGTCGGCGAAGGTGTTGGTGACGAAGCCGAGGCGGATTCTTGAGGGGCTTGTAGCAGTCTTCTAACCCTGGATCTCACTTTCTCGATCAAGCTTCTAGCCCTGGATCTCACTTTCTCGATCAAGCGAGGCGCCATCGTCACAGAGGACACCTTAGTCCTGTTGCGCGATATGACGATAGTAGCGAGATGGCTTCTGCTCTGATGGATGAGTCGGGATGACGATGGAGTGTCACGACTAACAACTTGGGCAGCAACATCTCTGCGAGATTTCTCGTGCGGGGAGAGGAGGCCTCAGCAGCTGAAAAGATCCCGGTAGCATGGTGCAGCTTGTGAGTCCAATAAAATTGCCGAGTCATGAGATGTGCAGCTGCGCCAAGTCAATCGCAGGGCTTGTCGTGTCGAGGTGGAAAGTGCAAGGCAAATCAGGTGGGGAAAGAAGTAAGAACAGGCTGGCTCGATTTTGCCATCTGGTCCCGAGATCCATCTTATCTTTGTCTTGACTTTGCGCTGCCACTGGGGCCCGGCTGACAAGAGATGAGTTGCCCTCATTGCGGGGCCAGTAGGACAGTGTTCATGTGACCAAGGTTCGTTGGAGGAAAGCGCTGAGGAGAGGGGATCAGTCAACAGGTAACACAGTAGATGCCTGCCTGACAAGGCTGTGGCGTGGCGGAGTTGCGCTTAGATCCCTGCTAAGGAAGAGAATGCGCGCTTCGTGCCATTCAGTGGATGTTGCAGCACCTTGCTGCAGGCTGCAACTGTTACCGACGGAGAATAGAGAATCAAGTTCTACCAGAGCACTTCGCTTGCTCTCTGTCACTAAAATCAGGCGGGACGCGTTGCGGACGCGTTGGATATTCTCTTATCGGGGGTTACCTCTAGTGCACGCACGTGCATGACGATCATCAACCCACCCTTAGATGGAAGGCAAGGAACGGGTCGTCCGCCCCACGGCGCGCCGTACCGTCCGGGCACCACCGCAATCTTTATTCCTTTGACTCCACCAAGCGGATATCCATGAGATAGCGAGAAACATTAAAGATGGTACAGCGGCTTCGTTAAGGCCGGACTTATCGCGACGACACTGTTTCGCCGTGTTCTGAGCTTTATCGGCATTGCCGTGATGCCCAAGACGCGGGTACACCACGCCGATTGACACCAGGCACCGAAGGCTCGCCCGCAGCCGGTAGCCGTGGCAGTAGAGCATCTCACCCCATAATATGCAAAACACGGTAAAGAGCCCTGGCCAGGCGTCGAGACTCGGGCTGGCCACTCTTCTATTTTTTAAGTTGACATATAGGAGTTTCAGTAGCACCCCGCACCTTCGGGACTCCTAGATATTCACATATCCCACCGATCAAGATCAATGCGGCTGAGCAATTCCCGGCAGTAACCTTCTCCCCTCCCCATGTCCACGGAACGGCCTTCTTGTTTAACAGGATGGGATGTACTTACAACTTTATTAGAGATAGGCCAGTGATTTTTCTCTTCATGGTTTAATCTGAGTTGGATCGACAAGCCAAAGCTCGCTCATATCAGCAGCATCTTGATGCCAATAGCCTGGTTTGCTGGTAATTTGGGGGAGGGTCACATGACCATTCCATCCTTATCGACTCATTTCCCCCACCCTAGAACCTTCCACACCATACACGTCGTGCTCTATTAAGACACGCGAGAATCTCTATCCCCTCTTAACAGGTACTCATAAAGAATCAACTATTCTGGCGTATTTCAACCAATAAAGCTGCTGCCATTTGTGTCTCGCTGTCCGTCCAGATATCCCCGACGATCTGCCCCTCTTCGCACCACCCTTGCTTGTACCGAAATGCACCACCTCAAAGTGGAGAACGCCGGGAGGTTAATGGCATGGTCAGCATTTAGGAAGATCGGAGAGAAGGGGATGCACTGTACTGCAAAGGGATCAGATTAAGATTAGATATCATGTTTTAGGCAGTAGTGTGGTAGAATTAGAAGGACACGAGCGGTGCTGGAAGGAATAGGCTCTAATTAGCGTATGAACAGCGCTGGCGAAGGTTCGTAGGCCCTGCTAAAGTTATTTGCCACTTTAAAGCGCTATGCGGTAAGGGAGATAATTATGGATGAAAGTCTTTGAGGGATATTATTTTGCATTATCTCTCGCGATAACAGTGGTAGAACAATGAGGTACATTGTACAGTCTCCAAGGACCGAATCGATTTTTTCTTATGCTTAATGAGGCCGAATACTATAGTTTACTTCGTTCGCAATTAATACTTTGACTTACTATGTAATGACAGTCCATTGAAGGACACGACCGCTATAATTTGTTCCTTACTATCTAATTATGATTAATACGTGTCTCCACCGTATAGATATAACTTTTAACACCAATACCATATAGGAGGCATTCTTCCCTCTTCCATATCTTCAAGATCTAGGAGAGAATCCCGTCCTGTTTCGACCTCGGACGCCTGGTACTTGGGTGCTGTCTTTTCGATATTCCCCTTCGTTTCACTGGCCTTGAGGACTTTGGACTGCTTGCCTTAATCATCCTCGGCCTTGACAGGGACATACTGTCGACCGAATCTGTCGAAGCAACCGCGGCGGGATCCGTAAACGCTTCGGGTCTTATCCCTTGTAAGCGTCTACTTCTCCGCAGCGGTACAGAAGCAGGCGCGGGAGGCGGCTTAGGAAGATCCAGCTCAGATAGAGGTGGTTGGGCATCGGAGGGCAACTCGGAGGGGTTCATTACTTGTCTAGGACCAGACCCTTTCCCGCTGGGCGACACCTTGGATACTTTCGCTGGACGAACCGGCCCGAGAACCGTGCCTGTTGGCCGAGCCCGTCCATCCTTCGAGGACGGCGCTCTCTCGCCTCGTCGTGGCCTCTGCCCTATTGCGGAGCGAGCATCCTGTCTGCTCTCTGTGAGGCGGCGCCGTAAATTTGGTACTGAAAAAGAGTGATCCGCATCGCCATTCCGTAGCCCGGCTGCATCAAGGGTTGCCGGCAGTTCTTGCTGAGACGCATTTGAGACGCTTGACAATGAGTTCAAGTTGGCCGGCGGAAGGGGTCCGAATATCTGTTTAGGAGCGAGATTTTCTTCTCCACGGCTATCCTCGCTGGAACCTCTCCAGGTAAAACACGTCCAGTCGATTCCCGCTGAGAGCATCCTATGTAAAGCCAGGCGGACATCCGTTATTGAGGGTTCTACATACGATAAGACGGCGAAGGGAATTGCTCATCCGTCCACGTCCGGAACGGAGGCCCGTCCTCAATCTAGTTCACACCGACTTTCAAGTCCCTCTCTACCTCTGCCAGAAGGAGTCACGGTCCGGGAATGCACGCCACGATATGATCCTGCGGGCGAAGATAATAGCGAGAACGGAGCTAAACCATCTTTTGCTAAGCTGAGGCGAAGTCGGAGGCATATCGTTCATAACGAGATGTATCGTTCGGCTAGGACTTCTAGGGCTGATCCCAACGATGAAGACTGGATTGTGCCACAGTCCGATAGGCACGACAGCAACCGGTGCAACGTGGGCCGTATTCTATACGACACAGAGGACGAGGACGAGGTCTACCATCCTTATATTGGTGAAGGAGAGCAGGATTATGAAAGCGACTGTGATATTCAGCCGCCACAACGCAAGCGCCGTAAGTTAAGCTCGTCAGCCCAGCCGGCCCGCATAGCGGTCACCGAACGGCAGACACGCTCACATGTAATTTCTTCCCATTTACGACCAGTACACGGACCAGCGCGAGGCCGAAGGTATTCAGGCAGTCAAAATGTATCCAGCGCGCCACAAGGCCACAGCGTTGAAGGGACTACTGAGGCGCATGCTGCGAATTACGGGGAATGGCTGCTTGAGGACGCAGTACTTAAGCGTGTGACCGTGAACGGCCTTGCGACTTTCCAGTTGCAGTTTACCTGGGACTCCTGCACAAATCACAGCCGCGGTGTACGTGCGACTAGAATCCCACCATACACGCCACCTGCTGAGAAGGGTTTCCCCACGGGGCTAGGCCTAGGAACAAGGAATTCCTTCACACTTGATGAAGACAACCTTATCGTCAAGCTAAAGAGCCAGGGGTTACATTGGAAGGAGATCCACAGACAGTTCGTAGAGGCCCTTCCAGAGCGCAAGCGAACTATGGCGGCCTTGCAGGTAAGATTCTCTACGAAGCTAAATACGAAGACAAGAAACAGGTCCCCCGAGGCGGAGAGCGGAATGTCAAGAGGGAGGAGAAGACGCGGTACTTAGGCGATGCACGGGGCGAAGAGGGCGGCGCGAGCAAATTGAAATATCAGTCTCTTATTTAGGTGCAAGCGCGCCAATCCTATATCAAATGGCAAGGCTTGTTCAGTTCCCATGACCTGAGTCTCATAAACTGAGTTTAATCCATGTTCTGCCAATGACACGTTATCGATAGGGAGCTTATCATGAACTGGTGAATAAAGCAAAACCTCCCGGCTATGTTATTAATATGAGGCCACCCTTCGGGTAGCACAATAGCCCGAACTTTAGACATGCTTACGTGACATGCTTACGTTATTCCCTGGCGGCGGCAGTACGTATTTTGAAAAAGCTCTTGAAGTAGGGATCATTTCAGCGCCCGGAGCGCTAGGGGATGCATCCAATGAAACATTTCTCCTCAACGATGCACCTAATAAAAACGCTTAAAGTGTTGCGCACGACCGCCTAATCTAGACGAGCTGGGTCAATACAATAATCCCGATCCCGAAATCCCGAACAACCTTGCCAAGTGGCTAACCGGTAAAACTCAGGCTATTGTGCTGCAGCCATAGCTGGCCGTAGCCTCGGCCCTCTAGCGATTAAGCCTTATTAGGTTGAGTGGGGCAAAGAGGGGTCTCATCAGCATATAGAATGTTTAACATGACAGAGGCTTTTGTTAATACATCATGTGCAAAAATTGACAAGATGAGTCTAGAATTTGTTCAAATATGTATGCAAATCAAAGAAACCCGGCGTGCTGGTTGGATACGACGAGGTATCAAGGATGGAGAGTCAGTCGCTGACCACACCTTTGGGGTTTTGCTACTGATCCTGCAGGCTACCGAAAACCTTCCTGCGGAAACCAGACTCAAGGCGTTGGAAATGGCCATCGCGCATGACCTTCCTGAGGCCATCATAGGTGACTATACCCCGGCGGATCATGTCAGCAAAGAGCGCAAAAGGACTGAAGAAGGCCTTGCCATGGATTTTCTACAATGTCTAGCTCCTTCCCCTACTGAAACCCTCCGAGCTCGGCTGGCGGAGTATAATGAACATCAGACTCCAATTTCGAGACTTGTCCATCAGGCTGACAAGCTTGAATCCTTGATTCAAGCTCTACGATATAGCAAGATGTTTCCGGAGGCTCGAGACCTTGAAGATTTCAAAGCTCACATCAAATACATCGAAAATCTAACTTTAGCTTCTATTGGCAAGGGAGGCCTGGAACAATGGGATCTCTCTCGGCCAAAGGTCCAATATATCTTTCTGATTGGTGAGTATACCGTAATCCGTGGCATAGATAGGCCAAGCGCTAATTGAAGTTAAGGTGGTCCTGGGGTAGGCAAAGGCACACAATGCAAGCGCCTGGCTCAGGAGTACACAGCCTGCTTTTCTCTTGGGGAACTTCTACGGCAGGAAGCAAACAACGAAAAGAGCCCATTTCAAGCCTTCATCAAGCGAAGCTTTGAGGAAAGTGTATCTGTTCCTGGGGAACTAGCTATGTGGATCCTACGTGATCACATTGAGGCAGCAGCTAATGCGGGCAAATCCCTTGTCGTGCTTGATGGCTTCCCACGGAGCTTGCAGCAGCTCAAGGCCTTCATGACAGAGGTATGTATATGGCACGTGTCCGATCATCGGCTGAACCTGGCAGATATCACTCGATTTCGGCACCGTTTACCTTAGCTGTCCAGTTGGGATTTTGAGCGAACGTCTTGAAGCCAGGGCGCGATTGTCCAATCGACCGGATGACCTAGACGCTAGGATTCGGACTTTGAGGGTGCAAGAGTTTGAGGCGAGCAGTCTAGCTCTTTTGGCAGAGCTCAGACATCATCCATTTCGAGAGGTATGCTCACCATCTCACTCATCAACAATGACTGACAACTATAGATTGATGGGAGCCGTACGGAGGATGATATTGCAAGTAACCTTAGGATTTGCTTGCAGGAGTTACGTTCTGAAATGAGGACGAAAATTTAAGCATACCATGGATCTGGTTGTCATGTTTATGATGAGGAAGCATGTCCTGCAAAATTTCCCCCGTTCGCTCAAGCTTTGCTATCTACCTAAGAGGTACCTAAGAAATCATACGCATTCAACAACTGGTCACAGTTTTCCAAAGCGACAAGGTTCGTGATGCTTCCGTCAATACTGCTATCGTCGACCTCTTTATATGAGGACACTGCTTTGACTACCGGATCTAACAGGTCAGCTGAGAATCCTACGGGGAGTGACCAGCTTACAATTGTGCTCTGAAAGCTTTCGCGACGCAAGATTAGCCCGGCGGGCGACTACCCACAAGCCATTCGCGTAGGCTATATTCTGTTTGATGAGATCTTGTGCGCTTTGGGGGTGGCGCCATTGGTAGTGCTGCGGCATGTCAGTTGCTTCATGTGACAGTTCAGTTGTTACGTACCTCCTGTGGGTGCCTTGGCCAGTACATAAGCCTCCATATATCTCGCTCCACGATTGACATCAACATAAGAAACGCAAGGTAAACCTTTTCGCGGTATTGTGCGTAGGATTCATCCATATCGTGCTGATAACACTTTTCTGATGCGTGTTGTAACCTTGCCAGCAATGCCTTTTCCTGTCTCGCTATATACTCTTCAAGAAGAGCATCAAGCTCTTTAGAAACGATAGCGGGTGCTGGCCGAATCCCGTAGTACGGGTTTTGGGGATCTTTACATTCGGCGCTAGCATCGGATTGCCACCCCTTCATAAGAAGTTGATTAGCTGTCCAGACTCTTAATGCCTCCGACAGAAGACTGCCAGCGGATTCGATCTTCAAAATGTCCCTCACAAGAGGATGTTTACATTCTTTCAGACATTTTGGCAAACAATCGTCGATATACTCGTCAATACGGCCTGGAAGAAATTCCGGGAGTAAGGGAAGCGTTTCGAGGGATACCCATCCGGTAAGTGTCTTTCCCCAGATTAAAACATCCTCAGGCCCGGAAGGGATAAAGGTTCGAACTGTCATGGACAGGGTCGGCCCACTAACAAAATGATAGAGCTGTAAATTGTATAGTTTTATGTCTTTCTTTAAATGGGACCCTACAAATCGATACGCGGAATTTATCCCTACTTTTGTCAGCACAGATGAACAAGACCTGGTCGGAAGATCTTACATTTCGAGAATATCTGTATGTCTTCGAGGCGAGTTCTCAAACATAGATTGTAGACCTGGTCTCTCAAACACGCGAAACAAGGGGAATCATTCCCCAGGCACTATAAGGCTTAGCCTCTCCCTCATATTGTGATCCGCCGACGACAAACCTTCTTTTTCTGGACGATACAGCGAATACACCGCGCTCGATCAGAATTTCTTGGTGCTGGTAGGGCCGCTGTGAATTTCGGAGATCGATGTGTGAAGACGCTAGACACTGGAAGAACTCGGTGGCGTGGTTGTAGCTGTGTAATGACATGCTCTACCGGCGCCTTGCTCGAGAAACACGCAAGAGCTTCGTTCAACGTTTGTGAGCTATCCACCAACTCGGATGGCGGTAGTACGATACCAATAGGGGCATGATGGCTAGTGGAATGCTTAGCTATCGAAACATCTCGAGTTATGCATTCGTCTCCGGGGACTTTCGGAGCTGGCAGGCACGCGTGTCTGGTATGGCTTTCGATCGTCGTTGCTGCGACGCTCGAGGTGTCCTGATAACATATCTCGTCTGTGATATCATATGGACTGTCGAACCTTGCTTTTAGAAACGAATCCCGAGAAGGAGAGAAGACTTCAAGCCAATAGGACTCGTTGTCAGTTGATCGGACATCGGATTGCTGGTTTGGATTGTTCATATTCCCGGTTCAAAGAAAAAAAATATTTCCTTCCACGATGAGCATATCGGTTTCAGCTTCGAGAGAAGCAGTGTATATCATAACAGATAGAGATGATTGTTATTACATGAGTGTGCATTAGCGTGTGCGACTAACCTCTTCCCCGGTGTATACCTAACATAATCCCGGCATACCAGGTACCGAGCAACGCACCAACGCGTAAGACTAAGCCAACCCCCCCGGCTTTGATCTAAATGCTTGTCTGGACTGATTCGATATAAGGGGGCACTGATGTAAGATCGGGTGGTGGAGTTTTACCAGGTATTAGTTAAGACCTTTGCCAGTGTACATTGTATGCAACAAACTGATGATCTGCTGGCGACTTGATAGAGATTAGGATCTTAGCATGAATTATATCTAAACGAGCCAGAGGCGCATGTAGATGTACTAAAGGGTACTTAAGTTATAAAAAAGCATGGACAGAAGCTGCAAGAACATCCATCACATTAACGTATTAAAGGCTTTGGATTCGCAAAGGACAGAGATCTATGTTGGAGGATTATGTACATTCCAATACCCCTTTCGAGCTATATATATATATCCGCGCCTACCCATTGTCATCTTCTCTTCCTTGAGTACCACTTGCCGAGCTCGGATCACTTTGAGGAGATGGCAATGTCTATCGGCCAGGAGAAGAAGCTGAGCCCGGCGCCTCTAACAAACAGGAGCCCTCTCTCTGTTGGGCCGTCGGCTGCCGATCAGACACAATCCTCTTACCCTTACCCTACAGCAGAACATACATCCATCACACTAGTCGCCGAGTCTGCGTGCAGGCTAACGAGCGCGTCATCACAGGCTTCGCCACAATCACAGGCCTCAGAGACCACTAGTAATCAATCAAATACCTACATGGACGAGAACGCTATCGATGACGATGATCAAGCTTCAGAGTGGGAGGATGACATTGAGGAATGCGACAAATCAAATGTGGACAACGTGGTTGCCTTCAAGCGCGTTCCACTAAAAGGGAATCATGTCTCTCAGACGTCACTCCTTAGTCTTATGCTTGCTGAGCAAGAAAAAGAGACCAAGATTTTGACTGGCTATGCCTTACATCCTATTCCTGCGATTCCTCAACATGCGAAAGCACTACAAGACCATTTAAACATGAGAGTCATCTCCTCCCCGAGGGACTTTGACAATGGGCTCGAGATGAGAAGACCTAAATTTTCGACGCCTATCGAGATTCCAAGATATGGCGCGCGGCCAATCGCGATCAACTCGCCAGCTCTTTCGCCTAGGACAACGAGAAGGAACATGTTGAACGTGGAACTGACCAAGTCATTACGACTTCAGTTAGTGCGGGAGCGACGTTTGACTGCCAATGCCTTCCTCAAGAGGCGCTACACCTCGCTTGATACGGCCAACGTGAAGCAGTATCCGGAGCAAGCCAATATGGAAAGCATCGACCAATATTCCAGCCACGACTTCTACACGCGCGGGTGGTAACCGATTATCTGACCCAAGGTCACTTGATTCTCGATCGAAACAGCACCTTACTTAGGTACCTTGTGTAATTTCCTTTCTCATTTCTTTCGCGTGAATAATGACGTGGCTGCTCTCTATGGTACAGATTGTTTGTATGAAGGTCTAATTAGTCATGAGGCATTTCGGTTTCCTACAACTACACAGCATGATTGACCTGGCGGATTGTTTATACATCAACTCGTAATACGAACGTATCGTTGATAGCAGGTTCCAGGTGAACATGACATCCTAAACTCCTTGCGTTAGTTGCTGGCGAGGCTATGCGAAGAGGAGTAATGAGACTTCCATGAGAAGCATGATGTCAAACACAATGATTCTACAATTTTAAGCCGTTGACGGGCTCCCCTACGTAGCTAGCGTCTACTCTTCGTGTGTAGGTAGATAGGGGTTAATTAATTCTCCTGGAAGTTCACCGGAGCGGATATTTGGAATGGTGGTTTTCTCGTCGGCAGTGTAAAATATATCACAATAGGTAAGTAAGTCCGGTAGCTAGGTTATATAAAGGGAGGACCACGCAACTTATGATGAGCTTTGACCGACCGACGTATGTGCCTCCGAGTGGGAGTTATTCCAATATGGTTCGTCGCTAGCGTCTACAAAATGCAAGTACCTATCTTTCGTCTATATTATTTACGTTATATAAATTTTCTCGGCATACTGGGATAGCACTTAAATGGCTAAAATACCTCGTATATATTTTCTATATGAGTAGATAAACCGCTAGCCAACCTTATATACTAGGTTATAACTTTTATGTTAGTATATAGCAGTTAGCGGCAATATTATATTCGAATAAAACCCCTTCCCCTATATAACTAAAAGGTTCACCTAACTCCGACTTAGATCTTCTGTATCCACCCCGATAGTGACAATTGGTGGAGGATATCGTTTTTCCTTTGCCTATTAGTGGATAAGATAGCTGACAGAGGATAGGGGCTTATACAATATCGTCTTTTAATATCGGGATGACATCCTTAGTAGATTGGAAGATAAAATCATTTCGTCTTCTAGGTACTTCAATCGAGAAATAAACGTTGGCTCCATACTGCTGGTGAAGTGCACGCCCTATGTTTCCTAGCGTGCGAAATCTCTTTTTAAGATTTGTACCGCTTCTGTCTTTTTTCTTTTGGTGTTGTCTGGTTTGCATGATTTTACTTTCGAGCTTGCCTGGGTTGCCGACAGGCTGCTGATCTGCTTTGGAATGAGGAGACATTTTCTTATCGTGTAATTGCCTGGGGCCACACTTTCACATGGCTGTCTACATTATAAATATTATTCCCGACTCCTAAGCTTTTTCTATTCTACTTGGAAGGTGTCCATTTCCGGACACTGAATAGTCCCTTTCTCGTAACCTGATAAATACCCAGAGTAAGGTTTGACATGGAGGAGCAGGTGTGGACCGAAGCCATCCCACTTTAGACCTGAGTCCAAACTGAGCCCAAACTGAGCCCAAACTGAGTCCAGGCCGAGCCTGTCCGAAACTGTACTCTTGTGCATGCATAAATATCACGGTTAATTAGATACGTAATTTTAATCTTCCCTACGGTAATTTCACTTTCCTCATGGGCTTCTACGTTCGTGGCTTGATAGGGCCTTGCGAACGCCATAGCAGAATCCGTATGGGCCGCAAGGATTGTGACGGAAGCTGCGCCAAAAGGTATTTCAGGTTTGGTCAGAATCGACACACCCCCTCAAGTGTGGACAATTCTGGACAAAGCTATAAATAACATTTATAATAAAATCATACCCTTATCCTGTTCTTTTGGTAAGATTAAATGATAAGTAAGGAAAAAACGCAACATGATGCTCTTGAATATCTTCTTTCTGATGCTGCCGTTTTCTGCGGCTCATTCGTGGGTCGAAAGGCTAAGGCGTCTCGACTTGAATGGAACCATGGTTGGAGATGTGGGGTTTATGCGTGGCGCTATGTCACGACTTGATCCTGCCTTTAACGACTTAAAGCAGCAGTATCTACTGCCACCGCCTGGTCGAGACGAAAATTTAGGAATTCTTCCTTCCGATCTGATCTGTCGGGACACCCAACAGGCAGTGGGGCAATTTAACGCAGCCTATCCTCCACTAAAGGCGTGGCCCGGCGACCTGGTAGCCTTACAATACCAGGAAAATGGGCACGTTACCCTTCCTGAAAACACGCCGCAGAAACCCAAAGACTCGACCATATTTATCTACGGTACTATGCACCCTTCTCCAGACGATCGGCTCCTCTCTATTCACCGTGTCTGGAACGCGGAAGGTACAGGAGGAGACAAGAGGGGGTTGCTCTTAACCACTCGATCTTTCGACGATGGTAGATGTTACCAGATCAATAGCGGACCGATCTCCGTAGCACGCCAGAAAGCTTACGTCAAGGTGCCTGCAGACCCTCAGGGGGCCGACCTCTGGTGTCAGAATGACCTGCGGCTTCCTACGAACATCAGGGGTAATTACACGCTCTACTGGGTCTGGGAATGGCCGTCTATCCCTACTAACACGACCCCCAATGGCCGTATGGAGGTTTATACTAGTTGCATGGATCTACAGATCCTACCGGGCATTCGAAGTGGGTCTGTCTCGTTCGAAAAAGGTCAAGATATGAACTGGGCCGGGATTGAAGAGCAAATGGTAGCAAGTGAAATGGTATAATTGGTTCTATAACGTAGGCTCTCTTATTTCAGTTTTGAAGCAGGCTTCTTAATCAAAGTATCTCATCTACTGGAAATCCCTCGTCTGAATTCATGCTAAGGCATACAAACTCTTCCTCGCACTTTGGACAATCCTCCAAAGCAATGCCCCGACCGTTTGCATTGAACAAATATAACTCGCTTCTTGAACTGCTTCGAACTTCTGTGACAGCTTCGATGATTTTCTCCTAGCATAACCACGAAACTTGGAGTCTAATTCTGCACCGAGTCGTTTGGATTGCGTCTCAACATTGAATAACACCATTTTGAGTATCTAACAGCCGTTTCCTCCGCTTCACTACCTGGTTGGATGCAGGATGATTACAATGTTTCTACTATAAATATACTTGCGAATGTCGTTCCTACCAACCTAGCAAAGGACTTAAGTTGGGCGATCATTATTAAATAATTAGGTTTTTACTTATTACTAACCTAGACAAGCATCACGCCCCGGCAATTGGTTGAGACGATTTTGGCCGCATGGTTGAGATGGCCAGAAACGGCCACAAGAGTGACCCACATCTGCTGGTTTGCCTTCTATATATACCTACCTATATATACAATCAGCACTAAATTCCTTACGAATATTGGATGCGATATCAACCCTCAGGGCATGACTGATTCAAAATGTCACGTCCTAATCGGCATACTCTTTTTGTTGATGATGATGCTTTGCTCAGTGGCAACAACGTTCCAGAGCAACGGGTATTACCCCGCGGAACGTTACTGTTACCCCACCAAACGTCGCAGCCACGTGCCAGTGGGGACAAGCCTCCTCGGCCCCAAAGCAGATTCCCAGTCAAACGAGTCTCGGAGGAGGGGGGGCGGCTTGTTCCCGTCATTAGCGGCTCACCATGGAATCACTATGAAAATAGATATCGGGTAAGACATGGCTCGTCGTTTGGCATTATCACGTCTCGCCGCGAACCATGCCGGCAGTCAATGATTCGCACGATTTCCGGGCGCAATGCCGATGAACAGATCCAGAACATCCGTCAACTCTGCCACGAAAATATCGTCAGGAGCATAGAGATTTACGCGTGCTCCGACGCAGGCTATTTTCTCATCTCCGAATTTATGCCAACTTCCCTTATGCATCTCTGTCGAGCACCAATTTACCCAAATGAGCCACAGCTGAGTTCCATTCTGCATCAAGTATGTCTCTACCCTCGGCTCTCGCGACTGAAATCTTGATACTAATTTATGCCCCTCGAGGTCCTCTCTGGAGTCGAGTTTCTCCTCGCGAACGGCTTCGTTCACGAGCAGCTGTCATGTGCCAATATTTTAGTAAATTTTGATGGCGATGTTAAAATATGTGATGTCGAACGTTGCACTGGATCAGGTGACACTTCAAAGCTTATGGACTCGTTTTGTAGAGTAATGATGAGGCTGATGGATAAGGAGAAGAACACGGCGGGAGTGGTCGGATTGACGCGCCCTGGAGATTGGTCGCAGGAAGCCGTTGATTTATTCACTTTGACAACTATTAGACCTAGCGTCAAGCAGCTGTTAAGTCACGAGTTTATGGGAAGGAAGGACAAGCAGGAGCTGGTCTGGCTGATCCCTCTTGTACTAATCACTGCGCATCATAATAGAGAGTAGGCGTACACACTCCCATTTTATCTAGAAGTAAAAGTCGTTACATTGTCGTCTCCCCGTGACCAGCATCCGATTCAGAATCGAGGAAAATAATATTTACACGGTCGACCCATTCAAGGAGACAATATGGTCTTCGTGTCCGATTGCTGGCCGCTCGAGGCTTGCATAGGCTGCTCAATCCGTTAGGTACGATATCGGCCGGTCCCATAGGTCCATTTCTGGCCCCTTGACAAGACCCGCTTCATCCAAGCCGCTCATAATAGGAGAGAAATCAACCCCAAGTCCTCGAAAATTTTGCGTACCTAGGCAGATAAGATGTTTTCTTGCCTTTGGCTTAAAAATATGGCGACGCCGAGACAGAGTAACGTAGAGCGTGGGAGATGGCGTATGAAATGTCGGGACAGGCTCAGTCAACATATCGGTCAGTGCCATCCAAGATCTACACCAAGGCAGTTAATGCTAAAAACAAAACGCAGAGGAGAGGCTGGGCATCAATATACCGCCCTCGCAAGTCAGGTTACAATCGACTCGCAACGACGGATATGCCTGGCAAGTGCTTCCCGAGAAGCAACATCTGTTTTCCAAGAATCTTAGTGACCACTCCGTTGGAGCGTATAGAGATCTATGCGAGGGAGTTGGCGTCACTTTCGAGGCAGTGCGGGCCACGCCCGAATCATACACCGGCCAGGGCGCATTTGTAGGTACTGGTGTAATACCGATCCGCCACTTCCTCTGATCGTCAGCAGAACCCTACGGAGCCCGCTCCTCCCAGTTTCGCCTCGCGAATTAATGAGCTCCAGGTCCAGAACGACTATCTGAATCAGCAGCTCAACTTCCTTAAGTTTCAGCTGGAAGCGGAAATCAAGCTGCGACTCGACGTCGAGGAAAGGCAGAAGTCGGCCGACGAGAGATTTAATCACATGCGGGAGAAGTTCGACGCTGCGACCCGCCGAGAGGGCCATTTTCGAAGCCTGGCATTAAGGTACTCTCAAGGCTTTTCCAAGATGATACCAATCATAAATAATCTGCAAGAGGACCCCGGGATCACAGAAGAGGGATACTTATGAATATATGTAGAATGCTTCAGAACTTTACTTTTTATGCTTCGGCAGCAGCCATTTGGTATTGGCTTTCCTTACAGTTCGTTGGTTCTTGTTCTTTCTCATGTAGCAGGCAATTAAAAGCCGTAAATTCCCCATTCTCCACAAAAGAGCCTATTCCGGTAATTCTTATCCCAGAGCAAGTCGGTGATAATAACCCTTCGTAAACTCAGGGCATATAAGTGGGAAAGAGGTGTTATGTGGCTTGTAAGCTTGTTCGAGATATTGTCTTGACCCAACTCGACCAGATTAGGCAACTACAGGTAACCAGATGTAACAGAAGGGCACCCCTCCGGGGCGCCATAATAGCCTGAGTTTATAAGCTACATACATAATTTTCCTCATAGTGCCCTCTTGAGACATCCACATCCACCACATCTGGTGGGACCTGGATTTCCGCCACATAGTAACTTGATATCTCAGGTATTATTGGATGGGATTAAAAGCGCGGGCGTAATTAGGTAGATGAAAGAAGAATAGCTCAACCGGACTTTTAAATTATTCAGATATCCCGTTTCGCTTATCATGAAGTCATTTCCAGACTCTCCACACGACCGATGCCCCTATGGTACCGAAGTCTATGTAAGAAGTATGTACAAGTGTGATTAGTGGTCTGGAAGCAGCAGCATAATGACATTACTTCCCCAGGAAGACATATAAAGTACAATATGAGTAACGAAAATTCTGGCCCAGACGTTGGTAACTGCAGCTGCTTGTAAATGCAGAACCCTAGCATCCCCTCCGCAGAAACGGAATGGACTAAAATCGTTGCCACATCCCATCCTTTCCTGATTCTATTGTCTTCAACTGGAGTATTACTGGGATAGAGCAAAGGCGTGTCCATCTCCAGGTATTGGAAGTCAAAGAAGCATTCTGCGGAAGACCAGGAGCGGTTAAGCACGATAACAACGAATGCTGCGATATCTATGTTCAACCCAGCACTCAAGTAGATACTAGCAAGCGTCAAGGCGGAGAAATAAGCGGCCAACATCAAGACCTTTAGCGGCGTCCTCCTATCCCATTGTCGGACCCATAAAAGCCGCTTATTTAGTTTATGAGCTTTGCACTTAGGTATCCTTAAGTCAACGCACCTCATTAATGAGACTTGCGTAAATCGCCAGGGAAACGCCATATTTGAATAGCCAGTTTCTCTCGGTACGAATTGACAGGGCCATCAAAATAGAAACACCAAGTGAGGTTGATGCAATGAAAGAAATATGTATGTATCGAAGCTGTGTGGGGTGAAGCTCGTTTCGAGATGAAATAATATTCTGCAGATGAATAATGTTAAGGAGCAGCAGCACGAGAGTAATGACAGCAGCTGCCAGACCAATGTGGGCAAAAATATCATCCATAGCTTTTAGCTTTAAGTATGACTTTGAGAAGATTTTTTTTTCTTTGACGGCTCCGTAACTTATAGGTACTTCCTTGAACTGAGAGCCCGGGAGTTATATGGACCCAGAATCCATACGGTTAGCCTTAGCACTCAACCATGAAGAAGAAACCGCCGACATGGGTTACTATAACCGAAAAAATCAAAAAGATACGTCTTAACGGCATTCAGAAGAGAGATAGACAGAAGATCATAGTGGCTAGTAAGGTCCTAGGAGTCAAGAAGCCTCTTCACAAACATACATTCAATGACATTTCGGTGTACCAGCGCATCAAAATTGACACGCTGGTGTTGGTGCCTGCTGCAAAAAAATGGTTGGTACCTTGCCGTGTGCCTCGTATACCTACCCTGTGTACCCTGTGTACCCTGTATACCCTGTGTACCCTGCGTACCCTGTGTGGGGGGATATGCTAAGAGAAAGAGCTAATATTTCCATTTTTGCTTGGGCCCTTATTTATTAGGTTATATTTCGAGACGCGTTATAGTAAGACATGGGGACATGTTTTAGGATATGCTTCCTATCGGGATATGGTAGAGAATTGAAGCAGTTGGGTAGCATTTAAGTATTATGTGACGCTTAAAGATATGGGGACATGTTCTAGGACGTATTTCGTACGAAGGATGCAGGGTTCTGTATTTTACCAACGTTTGGACCAGAATTTTTCGCTACGTACCAACATTGTACTTCGTATGTTTATGCTCATGCATGTTTTCGAGTCAAAAGTGGTACAATAGTTATACCCCTTAGATCAGAATCTACACGCCCCCTTAGCCCAGGGCCATGTCTTCCGACGAAGACGTTTGGAATAAATTTATCAAACTTGCAGAAGCCGACCCTATCAAGATTCAGGGGCCATAGTCCGTGTCTGTAGTTATTTTAGAAGCATACCTACCTAATATACAACAAACCATTGGCATTTACAGACCTATTCATCTGGAGCAAGGATAGATCTAAAGTCCTATTTAGATCCCTTGCCAAAGTGCATGACGGGGTTGGGATTGTACATCAATACCAACGTAGCCCGATGGTTGAGATCCATGAGCGCCTGTCAACACAACGGTAATCGTACATGTGCGCATGAGCTGCAATTCCCCAGCCGGGAACTAGATCAACGTGTTTGCATCGACATATTAGATGAGGAGATGTATGCATATGCAGCCAATTAGGGACACGTAGATTGTCCAGATGGCTTCCATTCCGGACAAGAACTTGATAGGAACCCTGATATCTAGATACATGTTAACTAACATACTGGGTCTTTCGGGTTCTTCCTGTTTTTTTTCTTTCTTTTTTTTTGGTAATGTCAGTGGTCTGATATCCCCTTTGCCTTGGGGAGGTTTTGGGAGACGGAAATAGCTTGTCAAGACGAGTTCTTAGCATTTCAAGTAATGAAAGTCCGTTGTACAAGCTTCATAAAAGCCATCCATAAGTCTTTAAGACTCATGCCCTCTGCCCCTATTCGTTGAAAATGGCTGTGGGAAGCAACACTTCTTCAAGATGCTGAAGTCCGATAGCATGCTTATTTAATGGATTTGTAACTTATCTCACTCACACTAGTAGATCTTCGAACGCAGATATTGCAAGATCCATACTTGCCGGGCTTGCGTTCATAATGTATAGGAATGGGATATTAGATCAAGCTATGGTCTCGCTACTTAGTCTCCAGGCTATATTATCTCACTTCCTCTACCGCGTCTGATGTATCATCGTGTAAGACTCATATATACCTGCTAACCGCGAGAGGAACTAACGATACGTCGACTTTACCCTTAGCACCTGAGCCTCAAGACTAGCGCCTGTATCTACACAAGTATGATGAACTCACGACTAATAAAGCCGCTAAATTTCGACGTATGACGTTTAATCTTGGGTTGAAGAATAGCTTGCTTCTACTGCGTTAATGTAAATTAGCTAAAATCATTTATGTCACTCGTTTTGAATCTCTACTGGATGCCTCAGAAGATATAGAAGCTTCGTGAGCTATTACTAAGGGCCTAAACGAAGCTCAAATGTGATTGTTCATTAAAGCAAACCCGTAAACATCCATCGATAATCCTTTCGACCTGCAGATATGGTAATAGATACGCATTCTGATTTCGTGCCTTAACGGTTACTAGCCAACGCAGGTCCGATTAGCTTTGCCTTCAAAGGTCATCTCCACGGCCAACAGAAGTGCTAGAGTCGTATAGTACTCGGTACCCCCAGAAGCTCGGGGAGCTACGTTGGTGGTTCCTATTCGGTCTCTGCTGATGGATGCCCGTATGCTTGTTAAGGATAGACTCAGTTAGACTTCAGTTATCCCTGTAATCGAACTTTGCCTAACTACAGCCAACGTAACGTAGTATACGCAGACCTCCAAGCGACAGGTTACGAGTATATGCAAGCGATCGCTGATATAGTGTTTGGAAATTTGGCCATGCTTGGTTTCAACGACGGAAGTACCAACAGCTCAATATCTCATGCTATATTGCTATATGCAAGACAGGTCAGCTTCACCTAAGGACGTACATTCCATCCCGACCAGTGCAGACCTGGGTCACAGGAAATGCAGGTTTCATCACAGGATGGGGGCTCAATCCACCGATAGCTCTCTTGGCGCTCATGGTGGTCTGGGAAGGCAATGTTAGGGTGCTTATTTGATTCCCATCTGCTAGATTAGAGACTAACGTTTAGGTCGAAGGACTTAGCCGGGCTGCAGCTCCCCCCGTAATAGAACCTTACCCGGCTTTTCCTTAAACTAGCAGAGAGTACTCGTTAAAAAGTCGCGGAATGACCAGGTTAGGGGCATATGCAGACCATCTTTCAAACTATATTAGTACGAATGACGATAGATCAGTACGACAACTGATCTCATCCCTAATTACCTAGGGTTATGTCTAACAACCTTATCAACAGCGTCGCAACCGGGGGTTTATTTATCCGTTGGGTCATATTCACACGTCATGCGGTGGGGTAGATACATATCGGATCGAGCCGTATGTGGGGATTGAACTTGTGATAGGGAAGCATAAAAACCAACTTGAGTTATGATGGTGACTAGGAGTTAAAATTTATCTCAACAGATTTCCGTTTCAGAACGTTATCACGTATGTTTCTTAAGCACAACTATCCCATCATGGCATATACTTTGACCCAAACAGCCGACCTCGAAAAATGTATCGCAGTCGCCTCTAAGCGAGGATTAAAGGAGGGAGAGATGGAAAAGGTCATACCCAAGGGACGAGACGGGGCTCCCCTTGACGTGGATGTACTCCGGCTGGAATGGTATCCAGAATACCTCATGGTGGCCGAACAAGCTATTAAAGAAGTAGTACGTACGTACTTGCCTCTGTTACATGATAGTATTATTAACTAACAACCAGAAGCCTAAAATACAGGAACTGGACCTAAAATTACTCAAATGGGATACGAATGCCTTCATTCTCCGATTTGGTGGTTTGCATCCAACTGCTGATCGTATCGGTCTTATAATACCTTTCATGATTGACTCTGTTCCGGCTCCGAAAATAGGATTTTACAGAGAGGGAAAGCTTCTAAGAACCGAGGACTGGAGCAACCAACTGTATATTCTCGAACAAGATGTGAGCATAAGGATCTTGCAGGGAGAGATCGTATTTATACTCGTGCTGCTACGCCGTACCTGAGTGTCCCGTGGACGGTTGCCCTGACATAAGATCACTCATATCACCATTTTGTCTACCCCAATCTATCCAGTTTGGCCATTCCTGGATTTCATTAACGAATTCGACGCCTGCAGTACCGCCCTGAATGACTTGTCTAAAATCATATCTGCGTCTTTTGCCTTGTCTCAATAGCTCATGGTTATGGTCTGGCGCCAGCCTGTGGATGAACATCCAATTTGTTAAACAGTCGTCTAGAAACTGAAAGATGGTGCTGGTAACTCCACAACATTGTCTTGCGGCGTCCAAGATGCCTCAATTTATCAAGGAATCGATAAATCGCACACGATATTCTCCTTTTGCCCGGAGCTCCTTTTCCCATCTTGATCTAGTTAGTTAGAGGATAATATAACATACAGAAATACTGACATAGTAAGTGGAATATCCTCAGGGAGCACCAATAATATGTCTGTGCTAGTAATATCATCACTGCTGCACCGGGCTCTAAGATCTTTTATGATCTCATGATATCTTTTGCCTTTCAGAACATAATCGTTAAAACTCTGGGCCGATGTGTCACCGGTAAATTCTAAGAGATCCTCCGTCTTCTTTTTATCTTGAAAAGTTTTCTGTAAACGGTAGATTGCTACTAGGACAACTCGGCGCTAACATTCACCTAGTAGTGATTGGTCCTTCAGGATTTAAAGGTAAGAACATAGCGAAGAAAGGAAATTGCCATCGGGGATACCATTGACTCCCTGCCGATTAAAGAATGTCGATAGTAACTGCTGCCACTCCTTTAAACACGATTTGATATTCTTGTTGAGCTCAATGGGACTATCTGCGTTCGCAGAATTCACCCACCAGGCCCTCTTTTTCTTGATAGCTAGTAATACATCCCTTTTGTCAGGCCTCACATCATTATATGCTCCTTTTAGTTGCCCAACAAACTAGAAAATATGAGACAAAGCTAAGAATCTGAGGAAAGATACGTACTTTATCGTCACCTAACAAATCATTTAATCCATCCTTATTATTGTCATAAGTTAATATTACCTCGTTAGCTAATTCTCAATTTGTTAATGCACTTATTGTTTTTGGTATGAATGTACGGGTAAAGAGTTAAGATGAAAAGATCCTGAAATCTTTTCCGTTTTGGGCCAATTTCTTCAGAAATGAAGAAATTGGCCCAAAACGGAAAAAACTGCTATTTTTGGCATGCTGCCTGAGGTACTTTTGTAAATGCATGCTATGTAGTGGATCTAATTCAGGGGCCGGGAAGGACTTACTCCAACATGGAGTTCTGAGCTCCCTTCCATTATTTACCTCTCATACCGTATAATGTCGATCCTAATCTAAATATACAATCTAAAGTTTGGCGTACAAAGGTCTTTGCTTTTAGGAACTTTTTAACTATAAACTACTACCATATAAGCTAGCTCCAGCTTTTAAACGTATAACTTTAGCTAACTGCCCCGAAGGTTTAGAAAAATGCACTTTTATATAGCTTATAATATTTTTTTTTACCTTACACTATTATTTCCTTTTAAAGTTGTTATATTTTTAAACTTA